GGCATTCCAGGTGGTGGACCTAAAATGAGTATTCGTATCTTTATATTATCTTTTTTGTATATGTACAAATACATTGTAACTATAACTTAGATTTATAAGCCAAATTTGTATTGAAAGTTACAGACTTCAAAATAAAATAATTTAAGTATAATGCAACAAAAAATATTTTAATGTATCACCAGGTGGTAATCGGAGTCCGATACGAGGTGGCGGCGGTGGTGGCATTCTAAGATGCAACGGCGGTGGAGGTGGCCTGTAAAGTAGAGGTGGAGGTGGCATGCCCATCGGTGGCATTGTACCATGTTGCTGTGTATGCTGAGGGTGAGAATGAGATGTGTGTTGCCCGTGCCCAGAAAGGTGCTCTGATGCCCCAGGCGGTTCTATTTCATCGGATTCTCCTTTATTAGATTTATTATTGCTAGATTTAGCATTGGGTTCGTTTTCCGTCTCGAGTAACGATAATCGTGCGTTTAGATCTTGAGCACGCTCGGTCTCCCTTTTCTTATGGACGACTTCCATTTCTCGCATAAACTGATCGATATCTTGTCCCGCCATTGCCAACATTTTTTGCTGCAACGTGGTCGGTTTGACTTTCGCCATGTCCCTGTCTTTGTCTTTTTCCTTTTCTGTGTCTTTCTCCTTATTTTCTGACTCTTGTTTGTTGTCCTCCTTATCATCAGCAAATCGTATCGTTCTTGATTTTGTTGGTGGATCTTTTACCTGTTAATTTTATGAACATTGAAATTATTTATCACAATAAACTATTTATAGTTCTTTAGGATGTTTATTTAGCATCAACTGTTAAATTGTTGCTTAGCAATTTAATTTATGATATTATCCTAATTCGGTTTAAGATTGCATTTAAAAATTGAAAATGATTTCAGTGTACAGTTGTAGAGGTAGATATACATAAATTCATACTGAAATATTATTTAAGAGTTAAGATTCAGCTCGGACCTCTCGGATAACGTTTTATAGTTACTCATTGTGCAAGGCTTTTCTTTTATAATAAAACAAAGAATTGCCAATTTACATACATTTTCAACTGTATCTTCATCGTCGCTTGATAATTCTGGAGGTGGAAATGGTGGCACACCAGGCGGCTCTTTATTGGGTGCCAATGTAGGCACAGCTGGAGAAGTTGCGTATGCACTGGTCTTTTTTAGGATACTTGGTGGTACAGGGATATTCATTATAGTATGATGTTGTGATATATAATGAGGATGAGGTGGATACATGTGTGCAGGCGGCTGTGGCATATCTGGTAATGGAATCTGTGATGTTAAGGAACCTGTAAAGAGGTTTATATTATTTATATTAAATAAAAATTTATTATAAAATTATATATTATATAAAATATAGAATATATACAGTATGCCTATATGTATATAAAAGTATATAGGATGCATCTGATAAAAAGTTCTTATTGATAAAAAAAAACAAGAAATTTAAGATTATTGAAGGTCATCAAAATATATCCTCCTACTTATCCTACAAATTTGATAAATGTTTCTCCCTATCTTTAACCTTTAAAAAAATGGTGAAATTTTTATATAGTATCTACTAGGATACTATATAAAAGTTTCTATTAGTTGCATAATTATTCTTCAGAATTTTTCAATTAATATTTGAATATACTTACCTGGATA